GGCCTTCTAGCACTTACATTGTTGTATATCCATTGAGTGGGCAGATGGTTGACACAGAGACCAGGGTAAACTCTCCTGTTTGTTTTGCAGGCAGATTACAGCCGCAGTGCGAAGCTTGCCAACTAGAAAGGGAGAAATTCAAAATGGTAAAGGGAGCCGTCTCACTCACAGGGCTCGCTGAGGGCTTGACAAACAACAGAGAGCCAAAATAAATTTTTAAAAAGTATACTCCAGCAGAAGTATTGACCATGTCCTTTCAAGAATTTTCCCAGCCATCAAGAAGAAAAACGTTAAGGGCTGAAACTGTAAGAGGAGTAAGGCAACCAGGGAGTACATTACCTATGCTGACAGCTTCTCAGAACTGGGAGAACACGGAGACCACGAAAAGAACAAGAAGAAAGCAGCAGCGGTACATTAAAATGAAGGCAAAGCCACTCTCTGACCTGCTTTAAAGCCAACAATAGATGTTTTAAAGGATCAAAGCTACTTTACAAGGCAGTTCTCAGCAGAGATGTAGGGAGAGTGAAGAAGACAAAATGTCTCAGGCCTGAGAGCTGATGGCTTCACTGCTTCTTTCACTGCTTATGTTGTGAATATCTAAGCTGAGGGCATCCAAAGTCAAAAACAGACCCAATCATCCAGGTCAATCCTGCTACCTGGGAGCCTCAACGGCCTTGCTCGATGCCCTCCTTCCTATCACAGGGGAAGAGTTCCCCACACAGAGCAAATGACTGGCCCAGGCTCCTGCGTGCACAGCACCCAAGCGCAGACTGGAGGCCAGGCCTTCCAGCTGCATGGTCAGGCCTCATACCCTGGCCCACCCTGCACTGCGGCTACACAAGACTAAACATCAAGCCACCGCCTCCCCTCAACAAGCGAGCCAGCACAGCCCCGTGGCTGCAAGCTTTGCTTTCAGGACAGCGGCTTTTAGTTTATCTACAATCTAGTCTCTCTTAGTGCTTTTTCTGTCCCTCAGGCATTTCTGAGGCATCTGTAAATGGTGCCAACTTGGAAAACAAGCAGCAAGTCACTTCAAACCATGTTTTCTTAAAAAACTACTGGTTTCAGGCAACCTACACTGATTATGTCCCAGTGGTCTTGAATATCAGACGAGAGTATTTTGACTGGCCCTGAGCAAGCTTGAGGGCAGGAATTACCCTTCACTGATCTGAGGGGCCCCAATGCCAAGGCTAGCCTCTGGCGTATGGTAGGACAGCAAAAGGGGACAAAAAATGGACTGAGTCTGAAATTGAAGCCAGAAAGCACTGAGTCAGAAGTTAGAATCCTTGGCCAGAAGCTTACGAAGGTGCCTAACCTCTGTGGGCTTCGATATTCTCATCTATAAAATAACATAAATACAGCCACCTCATAGCATGGCTGCAAGGACAGAATGAGATAATGTGCATAGAGCACCAAGCAAAGGAGATGCTCCATCAATCATCCCCCTATAATGACCACGTCCTTCATTAATATTGATGCAAGGAAAGAATGAAGTAAGTCCAATGTTAAATCAGTTCTTTTCTAGGAGACAAGCCTGAGATCAAGGGAACAACAATGTGAGAAGCCAGCCTGTGAGTGGCCAAACTTTCCTCGGCTATTTAATGGTCAGAGCTTACGGCCCTGTTTTACAGCTGGCCCTGCCTCATCCTGACTTCTGCTTCATCTCCCAGTGAAGTCATAACGCTGGGCTCACTGTCTATTGACACAGAGAGCCTGTGAGTCACAAATTCAACAGGATGACTTTGCTGCAGTGTGATTGACTGGAAAATGTTCCCTCATCTGAAAATTTTTTTTCAAGCAAATGGACATGCTTATTTTTGCAACAGCATGGAGTGCAGGCTCTTTGTTTATTTGACGTTGGTTTCTACGACATTCCAGGTGCCCAAGGGAGGGCTCACAACATTCAGATTTGCCTTATGAAGTGACATGTATTTTTCCCCCTCCCTCTCCTTTTCCCTTTCTGCCGACTGTTATATCTAAAGCAAACAGTCCCAGCACAATAGTTAGATTGCACTTCAATTTGGTGTTTACTTGACATTTACACACTGGCCATGCTGGACAGCTCAGTCATTCCAGAACAGGGGCTCGGCCAGCAAGCAGTGCGCTCGCCTTGCGCTCAACACTGAACAACACACAATCCTAAACGACTAGATGGTGTTTTGAGAAGTTGGCTTATGCTGCTAGATTTTTCTCTTAAGCCTGAGTTAGTGTATGCTGTGGGGAGGAAGTATCAGAATGTCTTCAGTCTTCCCAGGAAACCACACCTTTATCCAGAGTGGATAAGGGAGGGCAGATGGGTCTTGCTGATCCCATTTTCCTCCCTTTAAATCCAATTCTCACACTGCCATAGTTTCACTCTAAAACAAATCTAATCTAGTCCCCAGGGCTAAATCTTCTCAGGGTTGGGCACAGATTACTAATTTGATTAACTCAATCTCCAGTTCATCCTTTTCCTCTTTTGTTAAGGAATTAGTAATACCTACCTCACAGGATTATTGTAGGCACAATATATGCAAAGTACCTGAGGCAGGTTTAGGCTCTTAGAAGGTACTCTGAAAATGGCGGTTCTCATCCCCACCGGAGGCCCATGCATCTGGCTTCCGAAAGGGCTTGGGGAAGCGCAGGTTATAGGGGTTCCGTGTAGTTTGATGCAAGGAAGGCTTGGAATTGGCCAGGAGTCAGCACACGTGCTCTGTAGTCCTAGCTCTGCCAGTGTGCAGCACGGGCAAACCACCTCTGTGCCGTAGGCCTCCATTTCCATATGTGCAAAGTGAAAGCCTCTTTTTACATTATAACATTATATCATTTCCACATCTTCCAAGTCTGGGGGAAGTGCAAACTAACTGCCATAAAAGGCTGACTAGCCCAAAAGGTGATGGATGTAGATGCCTGTATTTAAAAGGAGTAGCAAACAGACAAGATCATAGTACTTAATGCTGCACAGAAAATTGATACCTTGAGATCTTGTTGACAGTAATATATATTTTTTGAGGAAAAATCTGATAATGGTTGATATTAACCTTGTGAAACAATGTCTATACATTGAGCCTAAAGAAATAAGCAAATATGTCTATAAGGGTGCACATGGGAATTTTATAGTAATGAAAAACTGGAAAGAATCAAAATGTCTATCAAAAAGGGATTGATTTAATACCAATATTAGGGAAACTATATGTTTATTAATATAAGGTGTATCTATGTATTAACATGAATAGAAATCCATGGTACATTTCTAAGTGAAAATAAAGCAAATTTACAGAGATGTGAGCAAATGACAGTCCATGTTCAAAACAGGAATTTTATTATTTTTTATATGCATAAAAATTCTGAACATTTATATACTAAACTTTTATTCATACCTATCTGGATAGGTATGCTATGGATTTTTTAAAATTGAAACACATTTATTGATTAATGTTTTTAAATAAGCAAGCATTAACTTTTTAAATGAGAAAAAAATTTAACGTCAAGAAGTAAAATAATAAAAGATTTTATATGGTGTATTAAACAAATATTTTCCAATGCTCCTTCTGAAACCTGATTCAAGTGATGGTAAAGGTATTAAAAGGATAAAACCAATCAAGATAAAGAGAGTGGGAGACAAGAAGTAGATGGACAAATGGCCACAAACTGAAATCAGAGAAAGTAGAAAATAAAGCAGACTTATTTCAAGGTGCAGGATCCTTGGAAAGCTTGGGAAGTGGAGACACCCAGTACTTAGAAAGTAAGGTGCATAGGAGGATGAAAATAGGATTATTGCTTGAAAGCCTATATAAGCAGCAGTCAGGAAATCCACCTACCTACCCACCCATCCATCCACCCATCCACCCATCCACCCATCCACCCATCCATCCACCCATCCATCCATCCATCCATCCATCCACCCATCCATCCACCCATCCATCCATCCATCCATCCATCCACCCACCCACCCACCCATCTATCCACCCCTCCACCCACCCATCCATTCTTAGGCCTTAAGATTCATCCCCAGCCCTGTGAAGCTGGGTGACTGCTCTCCTCCCATTTGAGCAGATTAGAGGTTTGCGCTCTGCTCTGGAGAACTTGATCTAAGAACTCTGGACTCAGGAAAGCCTGGCATGGCTGATACACGAGCAAACAAGGATTGACTCAAGGGCAGGCTACATACGGAATCATGATGCCATAGGCCGCCTTCCCTGTGTGGGCTCCAGGAACACCGATTGCCTCACAGCCACACCTGACCTGACACTCTATACTGTACTTTTATTTTATTTTATTTTGTTTTTTAATTTTTTATTAAGATATTATTAATATACACTCTTTTGAAGGTTTCACATGAGAAAACAATGTGGTTACTACTTTTACCCATATTATCAAGTCCCCACCCATACCCCAATGCAGTCACTGTCCATCAATGCAGCAAGATGCCACAGATCCACTATGTCCCTTCTTTGTGCTACACTGTTCTTCCAGTGATCCCCCATACCATGTGTACTAAACATAATACCCCTCAATCCCCTTCTCTCTCCCTCCCCACCCACCCTACCACACCCCTCCCTTTTGGTAACCACTAGTCACTTCTTGGAGTCTGTGAGTCTGCTGCCATTTTGTTCCTTCAGTTTTGCTTCATTGTTATACTCCACAGATGAGAGAAATCATTTGGGATTCGTCTTTCTCCACCTGGCTTATTTCACTGAGCATAATGTCCTCCAGCTCCATCCATGTTGTTGCAAAGGGTAGGATTTGTTTCTTTCTTGTGGCTGAATAGTATTCCATTGTGTATAGGTACCACCTCTTCTTTATCCATTCATCTACTGACTGACACTTAGGTTGCTTCCATATCTTGGCTATTGTAAAAAGTGCTGCCATAAACATAGGGGTGCATATGTCTTTCTGAGTCTGAGAAGTTGTATTCTTTGGGTAAATTCCAAGGAGTGGGAATCCTGGGTCAAATGATATTTCTATTTTTAGTTTTTTGAGGAACCTCAATATTGCTTTCCACAATGGTTGAACTAGCTTACATTCCCACCAGCAGTGCAGGAGGGTTCCCCCTACTCCTCATCTTCACCAGCATTTGTTGTTCTTAGTCTTTTCGATGCTGGCCATCCTTACTGGTGTGAGGTGATATCTCTATACTGTACTTTTAAAAACTGTGAAAGGGGTTCACTTATTAAACAAACACCAGTTGAGTACCTATTATGTGCCAGCAAACTGCATCACTGCAAGGCTGCCTGGGTCCTTGACCCTGAAACCCCCAATCTTGTCACCAATGGCAGTGCCAACCTCAGAGAGGTGGTGTGGAGATAAAATGACTTGCTGCATAGAAAGCACTTAGCACCATATTTGGTGCCCAGTCTGAGAGCTGTGTTGTTAATATTAGTTGAACATCCTGCTCCCTCTGATTCCTGGAGAGAGAACAGAGCAAATTCTTCCAATACTCCCCCAGGAAAGACAAGGTTAGATCTTTGCTAACATTGTGGACTGGTATATAATTCTCCAGTGGTGAACTTGACTTTGAAACTCTCCTCTGTCCAACCTAACTCTTGACTGGCTTATGAAGAGTCAAGGTCATTATCTTTCTAGACCTGACACAGCCAAAAAAGGCCTTTGCAAGGCATGGTGTGAATCCACGAAGTGTGATCCCCACATTAATTTAAACCTGGCCCACTTAAAACAATGTCTTTCTGAGGTTTTAGCCTGGGTCCTTAGTTGTTGCATCTGCAGTGATGTTGGGATAGTTGAAGGGGAAATACTATGAAAAAATACTTTATTCTTCAAATCAAGATACTGCATCACCTCCCAAGGTTGTGTACTGCAAAACTGATTTCAAGCTTACCAAACTGGGGTAACTGGCAGGTTTCATTACTAGGGGGTAGAAATGAACAGTAACGGTAGCTCTCACAGCCATTTGATCTGCACACAGCTTTGGGGAGTAGGTTCATTCACAGATCCATTTTACAGACAAGGAAAGTAAAGTGCAGCTAGACAACATAACTTGCCCAAGCTAGTAAGAGACAGCAGAGGGCCTGGAATCCACATTCCTGAGTGGTAATCCCAGCCATCTCCCCCAGAGTCACTATGCTACTGTCAATCCCAAACCATTCCTTTATCTTCCATAACCCAATGAATTCTGCCAAGACCCTTTGCTGAATTATAACAAGAGGGCACAAAGAATTAAACTCAGATAATGATACTTTAATTTGCACTCAGATAGCCCAAAGACAGTGTCTTGTCTTTAAAGAAGCCCAAATGAGTTGCTATTTTATCAGAAAATCGAGTTTGCTAAATGAAACACAGAGCTTTGGAATTCAGCAGTTCAGCATTTGCCATCAACACTTCGCTCTGTTTGTTGGGAAAATGCAGCAACCAGAAAAATGCTAGTAACTGACAACCTGGACTGTGTGCAGTCTGAACAGATTACCTTCTTGAATCTCTATTAAAATGCTGGGAATTCCTGTAAGATTAGGTAACTATTCGAGGGCCTCCTTTTTCAAGAAGCTTCTGACCATCCCATGATATAGGAAGTGCATGTGTCTAGATTGAGTTATCGACTTTAAAAAATGTGTCAAGCACCATATAAGATATTTGCTGCCAGAAATTATTTTGACTTTTTATTTTTTTCCGTTGGCACTGGCCATCCACCTAGCACTCTCCCCACCAGCCAGTACATTAAAATTAATCAACAAACACAATGTTTGTGGAAAAAAGGCAACTACAGGGCAATCAAATAGATTGTCGTTATTATTATTTTTTAAAATCATTTCCTTGGCTCAAAGTACTTAATGTCAAATTGGCAAAAATAACATATCCTTTTGTCAGGCCCACCAACTGAGTAGAAAAATTAAACACAGAACTGTTTATTTCTTGTTTGCCTTTCTCAGGGTGTGAAGCACTCATTTTTTTTTTTACCGTCAAAATCCCTACACTTGCCATAATGCAAAAATTTTACCTCCATTTTGATTTAAACCAGGAAATTTTGTTTTCCTCAGAAGGGTGACATTGTCTTAGTCTAAGAATATGAAGTACTGAGGCTTTTCAATTATGGAAATAGAATCTTTGAGCGTAAAAATATCTTAGTTCTCCTTCAATGCTAATACTCCCTCAGATAAAGTTTACCAGGCCAAGAAAATTTGGTGGACCAAGTCAAGGAGAAAATTCCAGCCACAGGTTTTCTCTGATCTCCATTCTTTGCTAGTTCATTTACTTTTAAATGCTGTATTTACTTTCAAATGCATATAGTATCAGAGGATTCTTCTTGTGGCCTTAAAAACAAACATACTAGATACAGATGGTAAGTGCTGGATCCTAATTTCTTTGGTAAGAGAAGTATTAGTACTATCTTCCTCTTAAAAGATATTACTCTGTCCTTAGACATTTAAAAAGAAACAACTTAAAAAGAGGGGTTTTTTGGTTTTGTTTTTGTGTTTCTATTTTTTATCTTCTTAACATCTCAGAACAAGCTGAGGACACTGAGAAGACCGATTTAACATAATGCTGTCGGAACAGTTCCAAGTCTTTAAGATAACCCCATTAAGTTTGGGATTTCTTTTTAAATAGCTTAAAGACTGTGTAGGGCCTAAATCTTGTGGGCTAAGAATGTAACGTAAGTGATCAAATCTAAAGTTTCATGAAAAAGATTTTAATTAAGTTTCTGAGATTTGATTTTTAAATGTCTGTGATTCACTATCTGCTCTAAAAACTTCAATACCTAACATTCGGGTTTTGAAAGGCAGTGGATTTGGCTACGGAAAAGAGGTGACTCTCCATTTGGTTTGGGTTTGGCTTTTGGTTTTTCTTGTTTGTGTTTTCTAGTTTGTCTTATTACAGTGCCTTGGCGAGGGCTGTTCTCCTTCTGTCCAACTGTTTTGAGAGGACCGTTATGAAGGACGTTATTTTCTGTCTCCTTCCCAAAACTTTTCAAAGAAAGAAAAGAAACGGGGGGAGACAGAGAAGGGGTTGGAGAACAGAGCGCCAGGCCAGTGAACTCTCAAGGAGAGGAATGTTACTGACAAGGAACGGGCTCCCTAAGCACTCATTTTTTTTTTTACCGTCAAAATCCCTACACTTGCCATAATGCAAAAATTTTACCTCCATTTTGATTTAAACCAGGAAATTTTGTTTTCCTCAGAAGGGTGACATTGTCTTAGTCTAAGAATATGAAGTACTGAGGCTTTTCAATTATGGAAATAGAATCTTTGAGCGTAAAAATATCTTAGTTCTCCTTCAATGCTAATACTCCCTCAGATAAAGTTTACCAGGCCAAGAAAATTTGGTGGACCAAGTCAAGGAGAAAATTCCAGCCACAGGTTTTCTCTGATCTCCATTCTTTGCTAGTTCATTTACTTTTAAATGCTGTATTTACTTTCAAATGCATATAGTATCAGAGGATTCTTCTTGTGGCCTTAAAAACAAACATACTAGATACAGATGGTAAGTGCTGGATCCTAATTTCTTTGGTAAGAGAAGTATTAGTACTATCTTCCTCTTAAAAGATATTACTCTGTCCTTAGACATTTAAAAAGAAACAACTTAAAAAGAGGGGTTTTTTGGTTTTGTTTTTGTGTTTCTATTTTTTATCTTCTTAACATCTCAGAACAAGCTGAGGACACTGAGAAGACCGATTTAACATAATGCTGTTGGAACAGTTCCAAGTCTTTAAGATAACCCCATTAAGTTTGGGATTTCTTTTTAAATAGCTTAAAGACTGTGTAGGGCCTAAATCTTGTGGGCTAAGAATGTAACGTAAGTGATCAAATCTAAAGTTTCATGAAAAAGATTTTAATTAAGTTTCTGAGATTTGATTTTTAAATGTCTGTGATTCACTATCTGCTCTAAAAACTTCAATACCTAACATTCGGGTTTTGAAAGGCAGTGGATTTGGCTACGGAAAAGAGGTGACTCTCCATTTGGTTTGGGTTTGGCTTTTGGTTTTTCTTGTTTGTGTTTTCTAGTTTGTCTTATTACAGTGCCTTGGCGAGGGCTGTTCTCCTTCTGTCCAACTGTTTTGAGAGGACCGTTATGAAGGACGTTATTTTCTGTCTCCTTCCCAAAACTTTTCAAAGAAAGAAAAGAAACGGGGGGAGACAGAGAAGGGGTTGGAGAACAGAGCGCCAGGCCAGTGAACTCTCAAGGAGAGGAATGTTACTGACAAGGAACGGGCTCCCGCGAACCCTTTCACCAAGGCAGTTTTGCTCCCTCCCTTTCCTCTGCAATGAATACTGGTTTACTGGGCATTTGTCCTAAAGATGCCAGAGAGGAACAGAGCCACAAACACGTAACCAGATAACGGCAGTCCACGGGGTAAGTGGCAAGGCAGAGTCACCACACAGTTTTATTAGAGCTCGATGGGGCCTAACGGCCAAGGGACAAGAGGGGCACTGGAGCTTGAAGACAATGAGAGCTGCAAGAGGAGAAAAGGCATTTCAGAGTAAAAACAGCTAATGAAAATACACATTGGGTATTAGGAGACTGGAGAGAACATGCAGTTAAAGTTTAGGGAGGGTGAGGTCAGTCTCCAGAAATGATCCTATAAAGTTTGTTGAGGCCAGAGTAGGGAGAGGATGGTACATCAGCCTAAGGAGTTCGGTCTTGATCGTCTAGGCAAAGGGGAGCTTTGTGGGGGGTGGGGAGTTGGGGGATGGCAGTGAATAGAAGCAGAACAGTGGTGATTTGTGAACAAAATGGATTAGATCTAGCAGGGAAATTCCAGCAGGACTGTGGGGGAGGCTGAGGAGGACAACAGTCTGGAAGCTACAGCAATCATTAAAAGCTATAAACAAGGGCTTGAACCAAGGCAACCTGGCGACTCAGTAGCAGGAAAAAGATTATGGTGATATTTAGGAATGAACATGGTTAAACTCTATGGATGCCCGGATGCCCAGGTCAAACAAAATGAAGGAAGAGTTGGAGGGGAATCTAGGTTTCTAGCTTGGAAGGCTGGTGAAGAGTGATGAAATAACATAAGGAGAAACATGATAAGAATCTGGGTGGATTGAAGTTCTTGACAAGAAAGGGGATTAATGAACCTGCAGTTGAGAGATGAAAGAAAGGACCAGCTTCCTGCTAATGTACTGTTTAAAGAAGAGTACATTATTCATTCATTCAACAAACACGGAGCATTGCCAAGTGCTAGGCAGGCACTGTACTAGGACTTGAGGATATGGCAGTGAACAAGACAGTAGCTCCTGTCTTCATGAAGCTTCCAGTGCCATGGAGAACACTGGCGATAACAATACCTATCATGCAGTGAGCATCAAGTCCTGTGCTAACCACTTTACTTGGATGATCCCACTTACATTCCTCATCACTTTAAGTATGTACTACTAAGATTCCTATTTTATAGGAGAAGAAACAGGCAAAGTGAAAGTCAAGTAACTTCCCTAGCTAGAACACAGACCCAGGAAATGTATTGCCCAAGCCCACTTTCTTAACCTCTCCACAAGATCAAGGTGAAAGAGACACCAGCATTTACAAGGAGAGGGGAGGAGATGGGAGCTGGAGGCTGAGAAAAGCTTTGCTACCCTGTGAGAGTTGCAAGCCCCTCTCAGTTACCACAAGGGATTTCATTTCAAAGCAGTTTGGATTCTCAAATCATCTCTTGCCTTCACTTTCTCAAAACACAGCTTGCCCTGAGACCTGGGGCAGTTAGGCACAGACACCCACGCCAGGGTGCAGCAGGCTCCCTGGGGTGTTGTGCCCAGATCCAGTACCTGCTTCGGGCTGCAGTCCTTCACTTGAAACATTTATGCAGCCTCTTCAGTCTTTCACACCCCTCCACGGATCCACATTAATCCCCTAGCACTAATGGTTTCCACCACATCTTCTGCCAACTAACGCAGTTTGTACTGGAAAAAAAAAATCTATTTTATGACTCTAAGGACATTAATAATTAACTTTCATACCACAAAACTTGTAATATCAGTTTGCTGAAATAAAGTCACCAGTATGTAATTCTTCTTTAAAGGGTGTCTTCTATTATTATTATTTTAGAGTGCAATTTAGTCATCAAAGGTTTACTCAGCCTCATGTTTATAAATTATATAGGGCAGGGATTTAACTCTTCTGGACCTACCTGTTCTGAAGAGAGGGAGGGTCATACCCTTTTGTCACACCAGGCACCTGCCTTGAAAGGAGATGATCTGTGAACTTGAAGTTCCTTACCTCTTTTAGAAATCTGGAGCAAATACAGAGATTTCCCTTTATGATGCAATCAGAAGAATAACCAGATAGTTGCCTGCCACGAAGAGGCACTGGCTTTCCTCCTCCAGAAGGCTGTTTGGAAACTACAAGTTCATCTTTTTAGTTGAATTTCAGAATCTTGTCTTGATTATGTGACATTATGATGGTGGCTTTAATTCATCGGTGTAATATTGTCTTTTCATTATGGTGGTTACTTTTGTTGCAGGGGAAAGCTCCTAGGACAAAACAAAAAATCTTATATACTGGCTACCTAAGTTGGAAATTCTAAGTCCTGACTTACACATACTTACATCCCCAAGAGAAGGGCTGCGGACCAAAACTCATCCAAGTTCGTTGGGGTTGGGAAACCTAGCCTTGTCCTTGATTGAGAAGTGAATAACTTTGCCATGTAATCCTCAAGTCTTAGCATCCCAATACATTTCTGCCATCACAATGAAAGGAGGGGGTTCAGGAGGTAGAAGGTGTTTTCCTTTTTTGGCTCCTCCTTTTGAAAAAGGCAGTATTTTCAGAGTTAAAGTAACTGGCCTGCTCTGATGGAGTGGGATTGAATCCCTCTAGGCCCGGAGACGGGGGTCCGAGTTTCCCTTCCAAAGGATTCCCCCGCCCACCGCAGGCCCTCAGAGCCATTGGCCAACGCTGAGCTAGAGGACAGAAGTCATCTTCAAGAGCGTCCAACTCTCTGTACCGAGAGAGGGTTTCCTGGCCTTGGCAGGGAGGCCCAGTGGATTCACTGGGACGAGATGCATTCCAAGAATGCTTCTGTGGTAGGCAAGGAGTGGAGAAACCAGGGAGAACAAATATTCTGAAGAAACCTAATAGGTAGCAGAATCGCGGACTCAAACAAACAGGTGACAACGACTTAAAGTACGAGGCAACTAGCGCTCAATGGGTGAGAAGGCACACTCGGCCCAGTGCTGGGGCTTCGACCCTTTTCCCAGTCCTCCTCCTCGCGTTTCCTGGGTTGACAGCCGGCCGGGATCGACAGCATTCACTGGTGAGGGGACTCGGTGGAGAGCGCGGGCGGCGCCCGGCTGTGCGCGCCTGAATCCAAACTAAACACCTCGCGAGCCTACGTTTTAGCAAGCGATACCGAACACCACATTCACGTTTTTAAAAAAAAGGCACTGTTTGCAGAGAAGAGGGCAAAAACATTTCCCGGCTGGAAAATTACTGATCAAACTAAGGGGAGAGTGGGGGAGGGGTGGCGAATTTATAAGACTTAAATAACGATCGCCGTTTCCTCTTCTTTTCCCGGTGCGCAGGGACAGCTGCCGCGAGCTCGTTGTGCCCTTTTCGGGAACCGGGGTCCCACTGCATCACTCCACTTCCTGGCACGGGGCCACTTTCCAGCTAAGTCCCTTCTGTGGGCTTGGCAGCTCGGCGCCTGGGCCAGAGGAGCGGGTTGCCGTTTGACCTTCACCTGGCCGTTTCACCTCTTTGTGACTCAGTCCTCTCATCCACGAAGTGGAAGAGTGCGTGGCTTATAAAGCGCTTTCAGACTCCCCTGTTAAGGGTGTCCCCGCGCCTCACAGCCCCTCTGCCCTCCCCCACCGCACGGACTACTCTTGAGCCCTTTTCCTCCATTTCTCGCGCCCTTAAACAGCAAAACCGTATCTCCGTTTCCCTTTCTGCGCCCTTTCCAGGCGGGGAACACCCCTCCGGGCTTCTCATGGTCCCAGAACTCGCCACACAGCGCTGGGCACCCGCTTCCTCTCGACCCCCCAGGCACACGCGGCAGAAGGGCCCGCGAAGAACCGTCCGAGGCCGAGGCACGCGCCCGCACTAGCGCTCCGGGACCAGCGCCGGGCTCCTGCGTGCGCAAGGGAGGAACCGAGGGCTGGGTGAGTCACGCGGGTAATCGCGCTCTCCTCCAGCGCGCAGAGAGCCGCAAGCGCGTACGCGAGCGGGGTTGCGGGCGCGTTACAGACCCCTCGGCCCCTACCAGCCTTCTCAGCCTCGGGCTTCGAACCCACAAAGCGGACCGTAGCGACGCGGACTGCCCTAGTCGCGCGAAGACCAGACCGTGCCCCAGACCCAGCGCCCCGCGCCGGGGCCGCCGCAGCCACCGCCGCCGGCGTCAGCGCGGCTCCGACCAGCCAGCTGCCTGGCTGGCGTCACGGCTGGGCCGGGCCCCGCCCGCGCCCCTCCCTCTCCCCCGCCCCCACGTGCGCCGAGTTTGTTTATTTAGCTACCATGGCAACCTGCGGGGGGGCCGCCGGAGGGAGGAGAGAAGAAAGGGAGGGGGTGGGGCCTGGCTGCGGGCCCCGGCGTACTGCGGGCTGGAGGCGGGGGAAGCTGGTGAGCGAGAAGTTATAAGTTAGGAGGAGAGCGGCGGCCGCCGGCAGTTCCCCGGCCCGAAAGAGCGAGCGCGTCTGCGGGCGCGCGGGGAGCAGAGGCGGTGGCGGGCGGCGGCGGCGGCACCGGGAGCCGCCAAGTGCCCCTCCCCGCCCCTCCGGCCCCCCACCCACCCACTCGCCCGCCCGCGGCCAGCGCCCATGGCCGCGCGCGCCCCGCGCAGCCCCACGGACTCCGCTCTCCGCGCCGCCGCCCAGTCCGCAGATCCGCGCCACCGCAGCCAGTCTCACCTGGTGGCGCCGCCCGCCCGCCACCCGGCCACAGCCCCAGCGCCCACGGCGACAGCTCCGGCGGCCGCGACAGTGGTGGAGGAAGCTGCTGAGTCGAAGAGAGCGCAGCCCAGCCATCGGACCTACTTACTCGCCTTGTTGATTGTCTTTTTTTAAGAGTTTACAACTTTTCTAAAAACTTTTGTATACAAAGAAACTTTTTTAAAAAAGAAATTTCCCATTTAATCCAAAGGAGGAGGACCTCGGGCAATTTAGTGTTTTTGGTTTTGGCTTCGTTTCTTTTTCTTCCTCTTCGTTGACTTTGGGGTTCGAGTGCCCCCACTGCTTTGGACTCCCGAGGACCTTCTGGGCCCCCACATTAATGAGGTAGGTCCTGCGCGGGCGCAGGGAGGTCTGGTGGGACGAGCTGGAGCGGCGGTCGAGAGTGGCCCCCTGATTCCTGCCTCTTTATGCGCCCCACCCGGCCTGCAGGCAGCCACCTGGCGAATCTGACATGGCTGTCAGCGACGCACTGCTCCCGTCCTTCTCCACGTTCGCGTCTGGCCCGGCGGGAAGGGAGAAGACACTGCGTCCAGCAGGTGCCCCAAATAACGTGAGTGTTGTTGCTCTGGGTGGTGGGGAGCGTTCGGTGGGCTTCTGTGGGTTGGATGGCGACGGGCGGAGCCCTGGGGTCACCGAGAACCACCGGGTGAAGGGAAGGAGTGACTCCCGCGCGAGCTCCGCAGCCTTCCTAGGATGGCCCCCCGCGCCCTTGTCTCAGCTGTACGTGCGTGTGACCGGGCGCTGCAGAGCCGCCGGGGGCGCACACCCGGTCCGCACACGTCTCCTAGAGCGCAGGCTGCAGAGTAGGCGCGCGGGCCACCGGGCGGGAGGTGTCTGTGTCCCCAGACACTGGCTGGGCCCGAGGGAGCTTGGCGCGTAGGCGTCTGCTTGTCGAGGACGCACTGGGAGAGCCTCGGTGTCCCAATCCTGGGGGCGGCGGGAGCGTCCGCGGGATCTGGTGAGGGAAGGACCCGGGCTGGCGAGCGCAGCGCTAGCTCACACGCAGTCCGGCAAATACAACAACATTCTCCACTTTGACGCACAGCTTCTCCTCGGACCCGGGTGTGGGCCGAGGTCGCAGCGCTGGCACCCGGAGTCCCAGGGCGCTGCCTGCCTGCTTGCCCCGTCCCCGTGCCTGGGCGGTGTAGGCGCGGCGGGCCCGCCAGTGTGTCGGTGGCAGGGGAGGACCAGCATTGATAGTCTCTCCCCTGTTCCGTCCGCGCAGCGCTGGAGGGAGGAGCTCTCGCACATGAAACGACTGCCCCCCGTGCTTGCCGGCCGCCCCTACGACCTGGCGGCGGCGACCGTGGCCACGGACCTGGAGAGTGGCGGAGTCGGAGCGGCTTGTGGCGGCAGCAACGCAGCCCTGATTCCCCGGAGGGAGGCCGAGGAGTTTAACGATCTCCTGGACCTGGACTTCATTCTCTCCAACTCACTGTCCCACCAGGAGTCAGTGGCCGCCACCGTGTCCTCGTCGGCATCAGCCTCATCTTCGTCCTCCCCTTCAAGCAGCGGTCCTGCCAGTGCGCCCTCCACCTGCAGCTTCAGCTACTCGATCCGGGCGGGGGGCGACCCGGGCGTGGCGCCGGGCAGCTCGGGCGGTGGCCTCCTCTACGGCCGGGAGTCTGTGCCCCCGCCCACAGCTCCCTTCAACCTGGCGGACATCAACGACGTGAGCCCTTCGGGCGGATTCGTGGCCGAGCTCCTGCGGCCGGAGTTGGACCCAGTGTACATTCCGCCGCAGCAGCCGCAGCCGCCAGGTGGCGGGCTGATGGGCAAGTTTGTGTTGAAGGCGTCGCTGAGTGCCCCTGGCAGCGAGTACGGCAGCCCGTCGGTCATCAGTGTTAGCAAAGGCAGCCCCGACGGCAGCCACCCCGTGGTGGCGCCCTACAGCGGCGGGCCGCCGCGCATGTGCCCCAAGATCAAGCAAGAGGCGGTCTCCTCGTGCACCGTCGGTCGGCCCCTAGAGGCCCACTTGGGCACTGGACCCCCTCTCAGCAATGGTCACCGGCCACCTGCCCACGACTTCCCCTTGGGGCGGCAGCTCCCCAGCAGGACTACCCCGACCCTGGGTGCAGAGGAACTGCTGAGCAGCAGGGACTGTCATCCTGCCCTGCCACTCCCCCCAGGCTTCCATCCCCACCCTGGGCCCAACTACCCACCTTTCCTGCCCGACCAAATGCAGCCACAGGTCCCACCGCTCCATTACCAAGGTCAGTCCCTGAGATTCATAGTTCAGGTTGGGAAGCCCTGCAAATGCCGGCCTCGCAGGGGGCATGGGATGATGCTGACTCCACCTTCTTCACTTCTAGAGCTCATGCCACCTGGTTCCTGCATGCCGGAAGAGCCCAAACCAAAGAGGGGGAGAAGGTCGTGGCCCCGGAAAAGGACAGCCACTCACACTTGTGATTATGCAGGCTGCGGCAAAACCTATACGAAGAGTTCTCATCTCAAGGCACACCTGCGAACCCACACAGGTAGGAGGACAGGCTGGGGAAAAGGGTGGGGGTGGCATCCAGTCCCAGGGCCCTATGGACACTCCTCAGGGCCTCCCTTGGATGTGGGGTGCAGTCTATCTCCTCCATCTCCTGGATCACAGGAGAGAACAGCTAACTGGCGCCTACTTTTTTGCCCAGGAGCCTTTTGTTTAATGGATGGTATCAGTGCTTAAATGTGCAGTTTTGTCAAATCTTTGAAAGGCAGGGAGATTTCCAGGCCACATGTGGGCCTCTCTTAGCATGAGCAAAGCATTGCCCTTGTCATCAAATTACAGACTTCGCAATGCAAAAGTGTGATGGGTTTTTTAATTGGTTTTTAATTTTCTAGACTTTCCATTGGTTGTTCCTATCCCAGATTCACTCCCTATTTTTAGTTCTAGTCTTAACAGTTAGGTTTTATTTAAATTTCAAGAATTGGGTGCTTATGATGGCTGAGATTCTGATTTAAGATCGTTACTGCAGAGAATTTCCATGTAGGTACATAAGGTCATTTAGGTGGAGCATTCAATTGGATAACAGAAATGTTGGTATTGAAAAAGTAACCCTCTTGCGGCTTTGTAGACCCAGCTGTAGTGGGATAGGATCTTATTGCTTGGTTGGGCCAGGAGAGACAAACTAGCAGACCTAATTCCCAAATCATTTCCACCACTGATATCTAGGCTCAAAAGAAGGGAAACGTTAGCTCTATAGAAGTTTATTTAGTTCAGGTTGTGTTTGATTGTGTTGCTTATCTATCTAATGCCCCCCTAGAAAAAAAAACAGAATACTTGAGATGCATAACATATTCTTTTTTATGATCTGTAATTGAATATGGCCTTAAAATGGCATAAAGACATTTTTGGCTTCTTTCAGAGTGGGATACTTTAATATTTGGCCTCGAGTTTTTAAAATGGTCAGTTCTTGGTTTTATAGCACTGGCTTCAGCTGCTCTGTTTTCCTCTCAACAGGTGAGAAACCTTACCACTGTGACTGGGACGGCTGTGGGTGGAAATTTGCCCGCTCAGATGAACTGACCAGGCACTACCGCAAACACACGGGGCACCGCCCCTTCCAGTGCCAGAAGTGCGACCGGGCATTTTCCAGGTCGGACCACCTCGCCTTACACATGAAGAGGCACTTTTAAATCCCAAAACGGTGGGTGTGGCCCACACTGCCAGAAGAGAATTCAGTATTTTTTACCTTTCACACCCTCTTCCCGGTTAGGGGAGGAACCCAGCTGGAAAGCACTACAATCACGGTCAAGTTCCCAACAAGTCAGCCTGTGCACGGATAATCAGGAGATGTGAGGAAACTGAAAGACAAATCAAAGAGCCGATGGGGTTCTGTGACTGGATCTTCTTATCATTCCAATTCTCAATCCAACTTGAATATTCCTGGACTTACAAGAATGCCAAGGGAGTGACTGGAAGTTGTGGATATCAGGGTATAAATTAGATCCATGAGTTGGGGGGAGGAAAGACCAGAATTCCCTTGAATTGTGTTTCAATGCAATGTAAGTATAAAGATCACCTTGTATTCTCTGCCTTCTAAAAGCCATTATTATGATATTAGAAGAGGAAGATATTCAGGTACAGAAAACGCGTTTTAATAGCTTAAACGATGGTGCTTGGTGAGTCTTGGTTCTAAAGGTACCAAATGAGGAAGCCAAAGTTCTCAAACTGCTGCATATTTTGACAAGGAAAATCCATTTTTGTCTTCCGATCTACATTTATGACCTAAGTCAGGTAAATATACCTGGTTTACTTTAACATTTTTATGCAGACAGTCTGTTATGCACTGTGGTTTCAGATGTGCAATAATTTGTACAATGGTTTATTCCCAAGTATGCCTTAAGCAGAACAAATGTTTTTTTTTCTATATAGTTCCCTGCCTTAATAAATATGTAATATAAATTTAAGCAAACGTCTATTTTGTATATTTGTAAACTACAAAGTAAAAAAAATGAACATTTTGTGGAGTTTGTATTTTGCATACTCAAGGTGAGAATTAAGTTTTAAATAAACCTATAATATTTTATCTGAACATTGTTTTTGTTTTGTATATTCTCTGGAAAATTGTGACCAGTTTCAGTTTAAACAGTGGATAGGGCATGTGAAAAGCACACTAAAAGGCCAGATTTTGTCTCTACAGAAATTAAAAGACTTTTAAAGCTCCTTAGTTATTATAATTATAATAATACTATATC